TTTTCCATTGCATTTCCAACCCTTAGTTTTATTAATTTTTTTTTTTTTTTTTTTTAGTTATTCTGGTGGTTATATAATGGCATCTCATTGTGGTTTCAACTTGCATTTCCCTAATGACTAATGAAGTTGAGCACATTTTCATCTATCAATTGGGCATTTAGGGATTAGAGGTTTTGGCAACTCTCTACTCATCTGATTCACACTGAACTTGCAGCCAAATGAAATAAAGTCTCTGACAGATGCTGCTGTTTAGTCATATCTCCCTTAGTGACTTCAGCTGGATTTTGGGTCCCGAGAGTAGGTTTGAACGTTCTTAGTAATAATGACAGCTAATATTTATTGAGTCCCCACTGTGTTCTAGGCACTGTGTGCTTGATACGCATAATGTCTCTTAATCTTCACAAACAGTTTATGAGGTAGATACTATTATCTTCATTTTACATGAGAAGACGCTAAGGTGGGGGAGCTAAGTAATTTACCTAAGGTCTCACAATGAACAGGTGGTGTGACCTGATTCAAATCAATTCCTTTAGCCACTGGAACATAATGCCTCTCAAAGATGGAAACATTCGACTACATCGAGAAAAACTTTAAAAATGGTTAAGAACTGAATAGTAAATGAATATGTAATGTCAAATGGAGAAAAATAGTTGCAAAATATGACAAAGAATTAATGTGCTTAATATACAAAGAGTATTTAGAAATTAATAAAAGGACAAGCATCTCAATAAAAAAATGATCAAAGGTTTCTGGGGTCAGGCAAATCTGGGAAATTCTGCACACTTTTTCCTGTTGTTTTACCCCTACAATGTATATGAATAAAAGTTATGACTCTGAGAAGTTCTGCAATAAAACTTACTTTAGCACAGAGTTTCCCAAACCTATTTGACCAAAATAGCCCTTAGCATCCTGAATAATTATAATTTTGGGGACAGACTTTGAAACATGTTGAACTCTAAAATAACCACTGCTTCCTCTGGTTTATAGTCTGGCAAAACTTTCAACAAAAGGAAAAGGAAATGAAATTAGTTTTGTCCAGGGTTTCTCAACCTTGACACGACTGACATTTTGGGTTGTATAATTTTTTCTTGTGTGGGACCGTCTCAGGCACTGTAGGACATGCAGCAGCACCCTTGGCCTCCAGCCAAGAGATGCCAGATGCCAGTAGAATCTCTCTCAGTCCTAGTTGTGACAACCGAAATTGCCTGTAGATATGGCCAAATGCCTCCTGGACTGCAGAGCTCACCCTCCCTTCATATAAGAACCATTAGTCTAGTTTGACTGATTTCTAAAGAAGTTACGGTGCTCTCACGATTACCTCCTAACTGGCTAAGTGCTTTCCAAACTGCATGGCGTTTCACTGTATTTTAATTTCTGTGCTTTGTGATATCGACTTTTCTCGTTTTAATAGAAGAGGGTATTAGTCTCTCTCTTGTCTTCGAGTCTTTCTTGTTTGTTAGAATTCCTTATATTTCCAGGCACTTCAAACCACCTATAGTTTCCTTCACGTGGAACTTTTTTTCATCTTTCTATCCTTTTATATGAATAAAGGAGGAAAATATAATTGAGGATGGGTTAGCAATTTCATCCACAGGGTCCTAGGTGAATTTCCAGCAACACTGAGTTTACTGACAATGTCTTCATCAGCTTCCCGCTAGTCCCTGCTGGTCTCCAGCCAGACAATCTTTCTTCTCGAGAGAAGGTAGAAGTACCACAGAAGGTACCAATTTTATGTTTCTCCCTCTCAGCCATGAATATGACATCATCTGCTCAGTTGGCATATCTAGACCATTTTTGATAGTTTTCTTATTCCAAACATATGAAGAAAAACCCTTTTCTTTTGATCTCAGCTTTTTTGCAAACCTGTTTATTCCGGTCAGTGACATTTTCTCTCCTTGGAGGTGTGTCCTCCTTTCCACGTTTTGGGAGTCCCTTTTGGGCCTGAGTTTCTCAGAGGCAGACCGCCCCTCCCCCCCCCAACTCCCTGGAGAATTGCGTCAATCTTTTTAAGTATTTCCTTCTTTTTATTTCCTGTCTGGGATTATTTTAAGCTTTAGAAACAGAATTTAATTCTTGGGAATCCTCTAGTCTAGTTTGACTGATTCCTAAAGAAGTTACGGTGCTCTTATGATTAGAATAGTCCATTATGGTGGCAGTGGGTGGAAAGAAAGGGACAAGTTTGAGAAACATTAATAAAGGGCAAGCGACAATACTTGACGACCATTTGGATTTGGAGGAGAAGCGGAGATGACTCCCAGATTTCTGTTTTGAGACGCTGAAGGGACTGGTGGTTCCTGCTGCAGAGAGGGGCACAGGAGGAGGAGGATGAAGATGAGGATGGGGAGAAGGCTGTCTGGGAAGATCGTGGGCATGTGTCTGGGATGTTTAGAGTTGGAGGTTTCCATGGGAGACAAGGTGGAGATATTGTGGAGGTAACTGGATATAAGAGCCTGAGGCTCTGGATAGGACACGTGACTGAGGGCTGCTGGGATGCAGATGACCGCTGAAGACGAGGAAGTGGATTAGCACTCGGATGGCCTGTGCTCATGGAATAGACACAGTTTAAGATGGGAGGAAGAAAGGTCCTTGAAGGAAACTGTGCTCAGAGAGAGAGGAGGAGATTCGAGAGAGGAGCATCACTGGAGAAAGAGTTTCGGGGTAGGAAGGATGGCCAGCCGCTTTAACTGATGTAGAGAGGTCAATTCAGATATGGACTGAAAAGTGCCCTCTGGATTAGCGGTCACTGGGGACCACAGGGAGGGCAGCCTCAGCCGAGTGGAGGGGGCTGGGAGGAGAGACGGTGGGAAGCAGACACAGGGTTGCTTCTAAAGGAGGATTCACTCGTCCATCCACTCAACCAACAAACCGAGGGGCCACTGTGCACCAGGGGTCACTATAGGATACAGTAGTGGGTCAACAGGCAAAAGTCTCTGCACTCACAATGTGTGCTTTTTAGGGAGATGTAGTGTGGCGGGAGGGTTCATTTTAAAGGCGGCTATTAAAATTATCATCATTCCACAGATGAGGAGGCCAAGAGAAGTGAGGCGACGGCACCTTGCTCCAGTTCGTACAAACGTCAGAGCTGCGCGTGCCCTGCCTGCCTGGCTCTTTCCACTCTGCTGCCTGAAGGGGATGGAATTTAGGTGGGAAGAGGGGATGCGGAAGGCATAACAGGATGGGGCAGGTGCAAGGTGCAGGATTATTTATGGCCGGGCTGGGCCTTCTCAGAGCAAGGTTTCTACTGGCCCCCGCTGTCCTTCATCTAGGATCGCCTATACTGGGCCTCGTGCTTGGGCTCAGGTCCCTCCCATGGGCACTGAGATCCGCATGTTCTCATGTGATTCTATTTGAGCCAGAAGTTGGAGAGGAGGCCTGTGGTAGCCGCCTTCCCCACACTTCCCCACGTGCCCTCTCCTCTTACTTAGGAGTAAATCTCCATTTCTTGTGGAGACCCTGATCCATAGGGTTTGAGTGAGGCTGAATACATCTCCATATCCACTTGTTAGGGGTGGGCACAGGAACCCAAACGAGGCTGATCCATGTTCCTCCATTAGATCAGCTATAGAGATGCTGGAAAGAGACAGGGCCTTTCTTTCTCTAGTATGGTGAGCTTAGGGACCAGGGTGGGCCACCCACAGCCATGTTGATTGACTATCTAAAGAAAACACTGAGTAGAGATGAACGGAGTCAAATGATAGAGGAGATTGAGCTCTAATGATCTCCTTTGAGCTCCTGGATCCAGCTCTGTTCTAATCTATCAAGAACTATTCCAGACTTCCTGACGGCTCAAACCAATGAATTAGCTTTCCCCCCACAATTCTGAGTCGAGTTTCTACATTTGCAGCTAAAAGAATCTGACCAATATAGTTTGTCATGATATGTCAGCTGCGACTGTGTAAAATATATTATTTACTTTGGCAGAAGCTAACTGACTCCAAAGACGTCCTCCGTGGAGCCATATGCATTTGCCATCTTACGGATGTTAGCCCCACAGGTGACAAAGAGATAAGTAAGACATGAGCTTACAGCGTAGCCATGGAGATGATGACAGGAACAAAAGAATCACCAACTAAAAAAATGCTTTACATTCACTTCCCTGGAGCCACAATCATAGGCAACAATTAGCCAGCAATTCCAGGTAGATTTCCACAAGTATGGACTGAGCCGGAGAGAGGTTCCATGCCACGTAGGCTGGGAAGGGGAGGAAGTACATTCTGGGGTATTCTAACACTCTTTTTCTGGGCAGACGGGCTAAGCTGGGGATAGTGGGGGACAGAGAGGGAGGGAAACAGGTGATCTGGGGAAGATGTGTGAGTATTAACGTGAGCGTGAGAGCTGCTTCTCTTACCTTTCCCATTCCGGCATGGGCGTGTCCCAGCTTGACCACCACAGGGAAGTGAGGGGCCGTGAGCTGAAAGAGACAAGAAATGATCATTTACTTTATGTAAATGGTATTATCTTAGAGATCCTGGGCCCTGCCTGTTCTGTAGGAAGAGTCACTCATCTGATATCGTCAGGAATCCCTAGACGGATGCTTTGACAGATGGTCCTCCTGCTGTAGTTCGAACACCCCAAATGCCAGTGTTCTTGGCTTCCAAAGAACAGCTCTAAAAACCAGTCTGCCTGGGCACCCGTCAATTTAGAGAGCTAGTGAAGCAGAGCCAGCGGACCGGGTTCACACCCTGGCTTGTGAGACCTCTGACAAGTTATCGCATGGATCTGTGCCTCAGTGTCCTCATCCGTAAAATGGGGATCGTGAGTATCCATCCCATGGGGGTTGCTGTGAGGATTAAACGAGTTACTGTGTGTGAGGCCCTTACATTGTAAGTACTCAGTGAATGACAGCTTTGTCATTCCGGCCATAGTTCTGCCTTACGTCAGTCCCCCAATGACCTTCAAATATCTGGAAACTCTCATTCCCTCCCCCAAGCCCTCGCTAGGCCACCCTGTGAGGTTCTTAATAATAGGGGCCATGCCCGCCACGGGCACAAGAGTTTATTGGCCACATAGTGTGGGCCACTGTGCCGAGTGCCTGCCCTGTGTGATCTTTAGACAGTTAGTTAGACTTACGAGGGCAGCAGCCTGGGCTGTTTGGTTCCCTGTTGCATCCCCAGCTCCCAGAACACTACCTGACCCAGGAAAGGCACCGGACATGGAATCTATGCTTCAGTCAGTCCCCTGAGCAAGACCAACAAGGCAGGCACACCTCTCCCGATGACGGAGGAGGAGAACGGGGCTCAAAAGATCAGGTGCCAGCCCATGCCCACGGTCATTCGGCTAGGAAATGAGGGAACCAGGTTTAGACCGAGGCTCTGCATTTCTTCTTCATGCTGCTCCTATGTTGTCTGAGATGTGTTTGCTTGTGTCTAGAAGTACATTTGGAGTTGCTCAGGGGCACAGGTTATCACTTCCAAGTATTTAGTAATAGTGTCTCTCCCCCGACTTGGATCAGCCCCAGCCAAACTCTCTATGCTGCGCAGTTGTCTGTTCTGGTGCCTGTCGTTCTGTCTTAGGTTGTCCCCTACAGTGCTGTCTGTCCTGATGTTCTGGGAGCTTTGAGAGGAGGAAGCCAGCTCTTTCCTCTTGGTGCCCAGCAGCTAGTCTGACATGGAGATGCTGCTTTAGCTGCTGAAAAGGGTCTGCTGTGGGCCACAAAGCCATTTGATGAACTGCATCTCATTTTACCCCTGCAATGGCTCTATGAGGTAAGCAGGGAAGGTATTTTTATTACCATTCCATGGATAGGAAAATTGAGACTCAGGGTAGCTGCTGAGAAGGGGTGGGGCTGAGACTGAACTAGCGTCTGTCAAATTCTCGGCTTGATGTGAACAGTTTCCTCTGAGGTCTAGCATCCGGGCTTCCCGCGGTAGATGCGGAATCAAAAAATTTCCCCTTCATTCACGCTAAAATTGACTACATCCTGTTGTCTAGAGTGAACAAATGCATCTTAAAAAGAGACAATGGTTTTATTCCAGAAGCAATATGTACACACTATAAAAAGTTGGGAAAATATAATAAAGTGCTATGTCGTTATGTAGAAAGAAGATAATACAAATCACCCTCAGACTTTTAATGGTTTTGGTGTATTATCTGATAGTCTTCTTTTTTAATCTATTTTTTTTTCTTTCAATATGTTCTGTTCTTACAAAATTAGGAGTACTGTGCATATCCAATTTTGCTTCCTGCTCTTTCCACTTAATGTTATGGAACAAGCATATTCCTAGTGGCAGTTGAATAGTTATTCTGAAATATTTGTCAGTTTAATAGTTATTATGAAATATTTGACACATGAAAAGAGACTTCAAGAGCAATACTGTAAACATCAACTAGCTTAAGAAATAAACCATTGACCAAATAGTCGAAGCCTCTGATGTACATCTTTCTTATCTCTTCCTTCCTCCCGCCCCAAACGTAACCATTATATAAATTGTATGTTTATTGTTTAGTTAGTTACATATATTCATATTTTAACTATTACATATGATCCCTAAACAATATATATTACACGTTTTAAAACTTTATGTAAATGGTATCAAAAGAATCTATTGCTGGACAACTTTTTGAGTACATTGTGTTTGTGAGATTCATGTACGTTGATATATACAGCACTGGTTCACTTTCAACTGCTGCATAGCATTCCATTTTATGAACACATTTCTACTTGTCCGTTTTCTGCTGATGAATGTTTAGGCAGTTTTTCTCTGTCCAATTACGAACGATAATAGTACGAACGTTCTTAACAATACTCCCCTCTGCACAGGTAGGGGAGTTTCCCCAGGGCACAGGCACAGGCGTGGAAATGCTGGGTCAGGGCAAAGCTCATCTCAGTTTTGCCGGATATTACCAAATTGCTCTAAAGTGGCTGTACTGACTCATGCTTTCCCAAGCAAGGAAAGAGCTCCCAACACCTGACGTTGAAAGACACATTTTACCATCCGAGGGTTGTAAAGGGGAATGAATGGGTGCATTTTCACCACGTGGCTTTCGTCCCCCAGCAGAATCGTCACACCCAGCCAGCCATCCACTCACGGGCCTGGTCACTAGTAGGGCTTCGCTGCGATCTCATTTTAAGATGGAGCTTGAGATGAGAGGAAATTGGTGTGCTCTCTCTTCCCCTCCGCCCCTCCTAGCTTAATAATTTCTCCACATGCTGATGAGTACTGGAAAGAACATGAATGTTGGAGTTAAACTTACTCTCTGTTTCATCTCGGGTTAGATGTATAACCTCTCTGAACCTTAGTTCTCTAATCTGCAAAATGGGGATAAGGCCCAACTCACAGGACTGTGGCGGGGGAGGAGAAATAAAACAAGGGATGTAAAGCTGCTTAGCACCACGTGGAGGTTCAACCTCAAAGCATGGAGTAGAATTGAGAGGAGGAAGGAGCTAACTCTAACTTTGTGGGGCGACGAGGGAGATGAAGGAGGGCTGGATGATGGAGGAGGGAGAGCAGAGGCCCCAGGTGGGCAGTATCTGGTAGTATGTGAGGGAGGGAAATGAACTCCAACAAAGGCTGCACCAGAGGGAGTAATCAGAGGTGATTAAAGTCTGTCATTTTGAATCTGAAGGAACCTTAGCAAGAATTTTTGCCTAGCTTCTATGTTACCGTGTTGTGATAGGTAGAATTTCTAGGAATACTACTTAAGATGTCCCACCCCAATCTCTGGAGACTATGGATGGGCCGAGATTGTCATACAATATCGTATAATAGTTGTTCTGTATTATATTATACAGGTGACTTTAAAATAGGGAGATTGTCTGGAAGGGCCTAATTAAATCACACGAGCCCTTTAAAGCTGAGAATTTTTTCCTTAGACTGGTGGCAGAAGAGAAGGCAGAGAGATTCAAAGCATGAGAAAGACTCAACACGCCATTCCTACTTTGAGATGGAGCTGGCCACGTGATAAGGAATGTGGGCAGCCTCCACGAGCTGAAGGTGGTCCCTGGCTGATAACCAGCAAGGAAATGGGGACCTCAGGTCTTCAGGTGCAAAGAATTGAATTCCACCAATACCAGGAACGAGCTTGGAAGAGACTCTTGAGCTTCCGAGGAGAACCCAGCGTGCTGGCGCCTTGATTTCGGCTTCATGAGACCCTAAGCAGAGAACCTTGTCATGCTATCCTGGACGTCTGATCTACGAAACTGTGAGGTAATAAAGGGGCGTTCTTTTAAGCTGCTCAATTCTTTAAAGCAGCCATAGGAAACTAATACATGGGTCCTCCTAGAAACCGAAGCCCCGAGAGTGAAGCGATTGTTTTCATGCCACACAATAGCAGAACCAGAAATCAAACTCATGTATTTTGACTTTTAATCGGGTATTTTCTCTGCCAAGGCACACTTCCCTGGGGACCTTATGCTTATCTGGGGTGCAACAAATGCTCTCCCCTAATCATAATGATCAATAAAATAATATCAAATCAATCAATTCAATGGGTGTTAATGGAGTGAGAACTATGTGTTTTGTGCTGTGCAGGACACACATGATGGAGACAAAATTTCTTATCTTGGAGAGATGGGCTGGACAGTGAAAACGCAGAACAAGGCAGCTTGGCGGGCAAGTCTGGGTGGCTGGAGTCATAAGCAAGTCTCCATAGGACAGGAAGGCTCTGACGATTCTGAAGGATGAGTAGGTTGTGGGTAGGAAGAAGGCTCAGCGTTCCTCAAGGGCTGAGTGGTATAGTGTCATGATCTTCCCATGGTGGGTGTTTAGATTCTTCGTGAGCTATAATGAACAAAGACCCATTTACCTGCAATAAAGCTGTTTTGGACATGATTGCTAACTAGAAGTATATATTTCAACTGAGTGCTCTTCTCCAGCAATTCTCAAACAAAATTGAAGGAGGTGTGTACATATTAATTGTCAGAAATAGTGGGAGGAGAAATTGTATCTGGATTTATAGGACACAGAGAGTCAATCCAGAAAAATTGGAGAATTTACAGTAAGATATTTCAAAGACAGTATTTTGAAAATTTATTTAAAGCAATGAATTTTCCTGATGCCAGGGGAAAGTTCCTTTTGCAATTTTTTTTACTTTGACTTGTTGAGAATTGCATTTTTTTTAGAGCCGGCTGGCAAGGCTCCGGGCTGGATTTGGGGAGAAGGAAGAGGCAACTTTGGGGCCAGATTATTGGGGGGAAGCTTAAGGGAAGAGTGTGCTGCTTGCAAGAGCTGTGGGGAAATAGCTCAGTTCTGGGGTAGGAGAAAGATCTGCCAGTTGCGTGTAGGATGAATTGTATCCGGAGAGACAGTTGGGCCAGAGACCAATTTGGAATTGATTACGACTAACACAGAAGTGCCACTGGTTGGACCTGGACTGGAATGGGGTTGATGGAGAGAGAGGGGGCATTCCCGAGGGTTTTTCTTTCTTCTTCTTTTTTAAGTGACACTTTTTAAAATTGGAATAACAGTCTTC